ATAGTTCTATATACACGAAAGTGCTCTCAGTGCACTAATACAATAAATTTTTGTCAAAGTTAACGCTCTCAACCTCTTCACGTTGTACTTTTCTTAAGGGTCCATTTTCCTTTTCTCGTTTCTCCCTTATCGAATATAAAAATACAGCCATGTATAAACTATAGATAGAAATTTTCTTTAATTGCCAGCGAGACTTAAAATCGTGTCTGACAGTGGTAAAAATATCGTCACGACTCTTCCATCACGTTTTCGATCACGTTTCACACGCGAAGAAAGAAGAAAGAATAAATATTGTCAGTTTGAAAAATAGATATTGTCATTTCGATATTGTAATTTGTCTACGATCAATGAAGATCAAGATAGAAATGTATTTACTAGCAACTTCTTCATAATTTCTTTCCATCCCCCCCTCCCCCCATATAATTTCCCTGGTCATAGAAAATCGATAACTCGATAAATTTCTAATAGTTTCTCTAACACATCGATATGTACAACAATCATAAATGCTCTTCTCGTAAACACTGTCGATAACAATAAAAATACAATAAACGTTACACCTAGCATTTTAATACAATATTTATCAGCTAATTTGTCATTCGAGTACTTAACAATTAAAATAATTAGACACTTAACAATTAAGATAATGTTGAGTTAAATTTGCGATAAAGGAAGATAATACAATTTATACATCGTCAGTTCGATAAACTAAACAATACCACAGTCTATAACAATGCTATCAAAATCCTCGATCTCTGACAAACTCCTGCTGACAGGAAGATATAGCTAACTGCTGTACAATGCTCCAAGATCGACTACAAGACGATCACTCGACGTTCGTGACGATATTTCTACCATGGCAGAACGACTCTCATCATTTGGCATGTTTCATTTTCTATAAGTACCACATAAAAGGTCAGGAGTCCAAGCTGGCGTAGGCCCACTAAATTGGTCCCAATTACCAGTCAACGAGACGACTCGGGGAACCTCGTCAAAGGCCAGATCGATGCCCAATTGTCCAAAACAAAGGCCTACGTCGATCAACACGATCAAACGTGAGCCTACGCCACCTGGAATCCCCATTGAACCACCCTAACACAAGAACTTTCTCTTCCAGCACTTCGTTGCCGTTCAAATAGAAAAATACTCTCCAAGAAAAAATAGATCCCATCACTTCAACCATATCCAAATGACGTCCATGACGATTCCACTTGCGAGCAAAAGAAAACAGTCTCCTCCTCGACCCAGTTTCACAGCAGACGATCGTTTGGCATTCACCACTGACCACCCCTTCTACCGACGCATTATGTCCGCTATAGTGAAGCCCTGTCTGGCTGGGGCAGGTCTAGGAGGCGGTGGTGGCTGCGGGGTGGGCGCCCTCAGGGGTCTGGACACCTCTTCTTCTCTCTCTCTGTCACGTTCTCTCTCCCTGCTCTGTTCGATCTCGCGTTCCCTCTCTCGCTCCCTCTCGCGTTCCTGCAGCTCGAGAAGCACCCTCGAGGGTCCAGGCGAGCCGATTCTTCGTCTGTACGAAGTCAGGATTAATGGCGGCGGGGGTGGCAGGGCCCCTGGTGGGTTCTGAGTGACCGAGTGGCCACCGTTTCCACCACTGGTCACTGTGGAGGGCTTCACCGCTGGCAATAGGTCTCTTCTGATCTGTAGCTGAGGTCTCTGGGGTAGAGAGGACGCGGACGCTGCCGTTGGGGGCGGCTGAGGTGGTCCGGATGAGGCTTGAGGTGGGTAGGACGTGTTCGTCGTGGATGTCGGTAAGGAAGAGTTCGTCGTTGACGCGGACGTCGATGACGACGAGCCAGTGTCCGGACAATCTTCTTCCGGGCTGTCGTCGTCCCTGAGGGCCTCTTCCAGTGCTTCCGGTGGCACGTCGCCTACTGCGTGCGTCAACGCGTGCCTCCTCAGGTCGCAGTTCCTGCGAAAGACTTTGCCACAGGAGGTACACTCGTAGGGTTTGTGATCTGTGTGGGTGAGGAGGTGGGTTTTCAGGTTACTGCGCTGGTTGAAGCTTCGCGCGCAGACGGGACACTTGTGGGGGGACTCTTCCATGTGAAGGATCTTGTGCACGGCCAGGGTGCGGCTCTGACAGAAACCCTTGCCGCACTCGCCGCATTTGAAGGGCTTCTCTTTACTGTGGATGTACCTGCAATGAGCATAGGGTGGGTTTAGTTGCATCTCGCGTTAGTAGGGTGTTCTAAGTGTTGAATATTGGAATAGAAGACTCGAGTACTGAATTGTGATACGGTATTAACCCTTTATACCTATGAACGAGGTACCTAGAGCGATGTCAATTTATTGCGGATCTCTTATACAAAGACTTACAATCAAAGATATTTTATCACAGATATTCTACTCGTTGTCGAAAGTACTGGTCCATAAATCCTATTAAATCGGAGCAATAAAATCCCTAACCTAACTTTCTCACAATCCTCCTCGCATAACTTTCTCATAAATCTCTAACCTGACTTTCTCACAATTAACCTGGTTGTACGTAAAATGGAAAAGAGAATTACCTATGATCTCGAAGGTGATCCTGTCTTCTGAAAGCCTTGCCGCAGATGTCACACGAGTACGGCCTCTCATCCGTGTGTGTTCTCTCGTGAATCAACAAATTGTACGACTTTGTGAACTGACGATTACAGAATTTACAGATGAACTGCTTCTTAGGCCTGGACGCTCTAGGGTCCACCAGGTGGATAGAGAGCCGAGCCACCAGGAAATGGACCAGCAAAGACTGGGTAACCGGGTGGTGGTTCCAGGAGAGGCGGTGGAGGAAGCAAAAGAGCCCTCGCGGCTAACTCCTTCCTCTTATCCGCCATCATAGCCATAATTTCGTAACTGGACGAGGACTTCCTCGCGACGGATGGCTCTGTGCCGACCTCGTGGTCCGGATTCGACGTGGTCGATGAGGACGGCGGTGGCCCCGGCAGGTGGGGATGCATGTCGCCTGGGTATGGCGCCAGATGTAGCCTCGAAGGCACCACGGGTACGAACGCGGACGATTCGCGGTGATGAGGGTGGCCGAGACCAGCCACCAGGCCATGTCGATGATGGTGATAAGCGGCCAGGGCACTTGACGGGTCGAAACCCCTCGAGGTCGACTGTGCCGCTGATCCTGACGATGATGCACTCGCTGAAGAAGGAGCCGACCTTGGTGACGGCCCAAGGCCCAGGTCTCGACCTCTGCTCGTCTCCTCCGAGACCGTGGCCGAGGCCGAGGCCGACGACGCCACGATGTCCGTCGGCATACCGATGACACCTGCAATGAAAACCAACCCTGCTGCTGATCCTTGACTAGCTTACGTTACGCGTGGGTTATTGTTGCCGAGGTTGCTGGAAATGGGAGAGGGCAGTTTCTTGACCTGCTAGGCTAGATTTATGTTTAAGGTGAGAAGGGTAGCGAATGGAGATAGGGGTGGAGAAGTAACGACGGTTCTATTTATGGTATTGTATGGCTTCCTGTTATTGCAGGTAGCTTATTGGTTCTAATTTAATTATGGCCTGGGTTTTGTTTGGTGGAGATAATTTGATGAGAATGGTTTCGGGTGAGACACAACACGAAAATAAGCAGTGTTTTGATCGATTTTTATAGTCTCAGTTTGTTTTGTTTTAGACAGTTTATAATAAGAATGGAGATTAATGCATACAAGTTCTGTTGGTTTAAGTTTGAAACACGTTTGATGTTCATTTGAGCACCTTATTATTGTGTATTGTTGTAGATTTCTTCTTCCCTTCTGAGATATTAATATCAGTACGAATTGCAGATATTTAATTGTTTATGAGAGACACTATTTTCTATAACATTTTACACAAATTGTACTACTTTCTGATTAATTAACAATGCTTCTTAACAATAAGAATGTATCCCAATATTGTATTTTGTTCATTAATGACACGATAACAATTTAAATTTTCCAAATTTAATTTTGTATGTTTATCGAACTACACATTCGAAAATTAAATATTTATATTAGCATGCTTTATCTTTCCAGATAAATTTCAGTAATCTAAGCAATTTCTTATTCGCCTCCATCTGTTTGTTATTCATTCTTATCTTCATTTTCAACGTATTAACATTTTTACTAACGTTCTATAACGTTAAATTCGCAAGATTAATTCGCGAGTACTTTCAAGTAACGGCAAGTAATGCAGCCAAATATTTTTATTTCCGTTCCATGTTCCTGATAAGATAAAGTTTTTACTATATATAACGTTTACTCCGAAACAAATGATTCAGACTTTCTCAAAAGGACAGCAGTACTTCGAAACGACAAGTTCTAAAATGACTTTCACGTTGTTGCAAAATGGTAACGTGTACTTTGATTACGAAATGCCTTGGAATCGCGATTCAAGGACTTTAGGTGCGTTTATTACGTTTCTTTCTCTCAACTCCCCAAATCTGCTCTTTCCTATATCATTGAATGAAAAGTAACTAATAAATTACAATTGCCGTATCTCGAATACATTCGCATATATGCGCATTATCATCGATAATCGTTCGTTTGAAATTAAGTACAGGAATCCACGTGACAAGGTTAAGTGTAAACCACGTTAAACATATCCGCCATCTTGCTATTCGTCTGTGACTCCCATTAAACATCGATACGCATTGCTCCTATATCTCGCGATACTATACATTATCATAACAAACACCCGCTCGATACCATTATCATAAATTTTGATCAATAATCCCCTCTTATAACACGTTTCGACTAAATCCAAAATTCTTCCAACGAATTAGACAACAATTAGGCAAAAAGCAATCTTCCTCGAGCAACAAACTCGATTCGCCGTTCTACGGGGACGAAACTGTGAGAAAAACACGGGGACGAAATCTCGCAAGCAACATCTCATTCACGATAATTCGTGGAACGTTTATATCCGGGCATATAAAACAAAAGGTCTGGGAGCTACAGCCACGGCTAATTGCTCATCACGGCGGAATGAGAAACAAGACTCTATCGCGTATCGCGTTTCCCAGACAATTGTGCGATAATACGTGGAACCCGCTCCCGTTTGCCAGCCGCGTGCGTTCCACGAACGTGAACTGGTTATCTCGAGTCGAGCACACCTGCCAACATGGCTTCCGCGGACCCAGCGGTCACGGCTAGTCCTAGCGGCCATGTTGGAATCGCCAATGCCCACAGGAATGCAACGGACGTGAACCACAGCTCGTCCGTCTCCATCCACCCATCGGTCATCCGAACCAGACCAAAGCCTACGTCCTAGAAACAAGCTCACCAGGGAAACGTCGGCCGAGAACACTTCCCGATCTCGCGTTTACTCTCCGCCAATGGTCCACCGTCGCATCTCCGCCCGAGACGTGTGATCCTGTCCAGCGTTCGCTGGCGGAAGCATTCGTCGCGACACCAGGATCACCTACATCGAGTCACTGGCACGTACGCCGCTGCTCATTCCTCCGTCGCTTTATCGGGAAACCATCCGCGAGCACCCACGTAAGCACACACACACACACACAAACACACACACAGGGATCCGCACTAGCAACACACTGTGAACACTGAGTTGGTAGGGGCACACGATTTCGGCCACGAATCCCAGGCCGACGCACCTCCTTCTAGATACTCGCGGACCGACACTTCTCTTCCGGGATGGCGATCACGCGGAATCACGGTGGAAAAAGGGCGACGAGATACAACCGCGTAGCCGCAGACGCAGCACGTCCCTTCTTTCTCGGTCGTGGACACGAAGGAGCGCGCGGTTTACTGCGTGTTGGACGCCGCCAGGTAGGCTACCTCGGCGCACACCCACGCAGCCGAGGCACACGCATGGTCCACACGCACGCGGCACACAAGTAACCGGCCACGACTTGCCTGGGAGTCTTTCCGTTCGGCTGCCGCTAGTAGCGCTGCTGCTGGATGCTGTGCGCCGACTGCCTCGCTCCTCACCGGCGGTGCGACAGAGTCCGATGGAACCGGCCAATGGGAGTCCAACCGAGACGCAGGAGAACCTGGAGCAGGCCCTAGCGATGGGACCGACTCCCTTCCACGCAAGAACTCCGCTGGAACAATCTACTACTTCGCACGAGGTTCAATCTTGCATCTTGGATGGAGCTGAACGATGCTTGCATAAATCTGTGGTTACGAGGAATCGCATAGTCTGGCAAACTCGAGAGCCAACTGTGTTACGATATAATTGGCTAGTTGCTTACTTTATACTTCCATGTGAGGATTCTTAAAATCGGTGTCTTAACTTTGTGTTGTATTATTTTGTATGTACTATAATTAGTATATTATGGCTTTCCTTTTTTTATGGGAGCATTTTAGAGACTTTTAGTTTCCATTTGGGGCCCAGTGGTCAGGCACAGTGCTGATCCGATCTGACACCAGTTTTGGAAGCATATACAAGCAGTCACGTGTGTCGCATTTATGGCAGGGTTAAGGGATGAAGCAATAAATTGAAACTTAGGCGTGACATCGGTATCTAAAGACTGTAGTCATAGTAGCGTCTTTAGGGTCACATTAGTGTCCACGGTGTCAGCAGCAGGGTTAATTTAAATGGAAAGCAAGCGGGGCTGCAGAAATACGGGAGTGATTTTACTCCAACAGGCATGGACAAGCGTGCGAGAGTGTATTTGCATAGTCTATGTACGGGTTGAATTTCATTTGCATGAAAATTTAAATTGGACATGCAAATAAGAGTTGGAGCAATGTAGGAACGTTGGTTCAACAGGGGATTTAAGGAACGACACGGTGGTCGCATTAACGTTTACAACTTGCACGGTCGAGACGTCGTTAATACGTTGTGATAAAATCAGATAAGTAACGGGAATACTAAAGATAACAATTGGTTAAATCATTAAATACATAAACGTACGTAACATTTGTACCAAGCTGCAACGCAACTATAATGTGTATTTTGTGATTCAAAACACATTTCGGGATATTCTTAAATTCACCTGGCTACCTAGCTATAAAATGGTCAATATCATTTTTCCTGTATGAACATTCCACTATGTAGATATTAAAATCACTAGGAAAAAGTCCCAAGTCCCTAGGATAAAAATACAGGAATATTACCAATAGATAATCTTTTCCAAATTATGAAAATTATTTCGTTATATAAATTTTATTTCATTTATATAAATTCATTAACTTCGGTTATTAACTACCACGTGATTAAGGCTACTGTCCACACCGGAAGATTGCATTCGCACTCGCGATATTCGAAAAGTTGCAGCGATCCATCACAATCGATCGCACCCCGCACAGGGCGCAATCAATTTCACAGCAGTTTTGTTTCCTGCAACCTCCGAGCTGCGCACTGTGTCGAATCCATCGCTAACAGAGACGTAGAGCAAAGGGGGCCAGGAACGAGGGAGGGAGATCCACGGGTATCCTATCTACCAGTGCCTACGACGCGATGCCGCGCAGGTTGAACGCAGGAGGTTTAGGTAGGGACGTGGTATGAGGAACAGGTGCGTAATAGTAAGGTTCGGTGCCCCCCTGATCGATAAACACCGATCTGCTTCGAATCCCTCTCCTCTATCCACGACCCGTCTACTCTCCTCCGATCCTTCGAAATTCCGCTCAGGACATGTCTCGTCTATGCTCGAACCGAATCGTCTCGAATTCCCCCGAATAATTCACCGAGGTACTTACACACCTGGTCAGTCCATCCAGAAGCAATGGACCGAACCTCCGCGCGTTTCCACTTCGCCTGTACCCCGAACGGCAAGCCAGGGAAGCAAGGATAAATCTGAGTGGAACAGTCACGAACGTCGATTGTCTACGAGAAAAATGGCGGATCGTGGATGAGACGTGAGACACGATGGAAACGCGATGTTCGTAGGAGCGTTACGGAAGGTAAAAAATCGTGGGGCAGGTTGTAAGTCCACCTGTAGGAAACTCGTGCGGCGCCGGCACTGAAGAAGGAGATCGGTTGTTGGTGGGCGGGAAGGGGAGAGGCCAGCGGCCAGAGGCACTCAGAGAGATCGAGCCTCGATCTTTCCTCTTCTTCTTCCTCTGCCCGGTACCCGGTGTCTCTGTCCATCGTTCCGCGGGTCTGTGTCCAGTCCATCCCTCTCCCTCACGGGCAGAGAGACCCTGTTCTTTTTCTTTCTTTCCGTCTCTTTTCTGCTGGCAGCAGCCGCCGACGCCCAGCCGGTTTTACACCGGCGGATCGATCCAATCGAGTGTCTCGGAGGAACGAGGCTGGTTCTAGTTCATGGATCGTGGATTTCGCTCCACTTGCCTAGAACAACCGGCGTAATTGTTCGTCTGCCCTGGTCCCGGGGGATTTGCTCGCGCCACGATCGCCGCGCCACGCTTCCTCGTGTGGCCAATCGAACGGTGAGCGAAGCGCGGAGATCACGGCAACCGGCTATGCGCTTGTGTACAGACGTGGCACGAGGACCCCGTTCTTTCGTTTCGTTTTGGTTCGCCTTCGTTTCGTTACAGTGGCTACGCGAACTGTCGCGATTCTTCTTTCCACACGGGGTCGCCGTGATTCTTTTGCAACGCTTTCCAATGGTCTCTCGTGTATTTTCTTTAGCAGAAGATTCTTCCTTGCACCGTGAGCGTCGTTACTTTAATTCGCTTTTGAATGGCCTCTGGTGTATTTTCTTCGGGAGAAGATTCTTCTTTGCACGGGGTCCCGTCGTTTCTTTAATTCGCTACCGACTGGTCCCTGGTGTACTTCCTTTGGAAGAAAATTTTTCTTTCGAACAGGTCGCGTCGTTTCTTTAATCTGGTTCCGAATGATCTTTGGTCTTTGGTGTACTTTCTTCGGCAGGAGATTCACCTTTCGATGGAGTCGTGCTGCTATTTTTGAATTGCTTTGCAATTATTTTTGGTGTATTTCTTTCCGTAGATTCTTGTTTCCATGGGGTGCATCGTTTCTTCTAGAATGGTATCGAATGGTCTTTGATATATTTTCTTCAAGAGAAGATTTTTATTTTAACGAAGTTCTGTTGCTATTTTTGAATTGCTATACAATTATTTTTGGTGTGTTTCTTTCTGTAGATTCTTCTCTTCATGGAGTGCATCGTTTCTTCTAGAATAGTATCGAATGATCTTCGATATATTTTCCTCAATAGAAGATTCTTGTTTCGACGAAGTTCTGTTGCTATTTTTGAATTGCTATGCAATTATTTTTGGTGTATTTCCTTCTATAGAAGATTCTTGTTTCCATGTGGTGCATCATTTCTTCTGGAATAATGTCGAATAGTCTTTGATGTATTTTCTTCAAGAGAAAATTCTTCTTTCGATGAAATCCTGTTGCTATTTTTGAATTGCTTTGCAATTATTTTTGGTGTATTTCCTTCTGTAGCAGATTCTTGTTTCCATGGGGTGCGTCATTTCTTTTGAAATAATGTCGAATGATGTCTCATGTATTTTCTTCAGGAAAAGATTCTTCTTTCCAGAAAGTAACGTCGTTCCTTTAATTCTTCATAGAATGGTTTTTGGTATACTTTCTTCGGAAGAAAATTCTTCTTTCGATGGAATCGTGTTACTATCTTTAAACGGCTTTCCAATTATCTTTGGTGTATTTTCTGCTGCAGAAGATTCTTGTTTTCATGGTATAACGTCGTTTCCTTTGCAAAGGCTTCGAATAGTCTCTGGTGCATTTCCTTCGGGAGAAGATTCTCCTTTCGATGGAGTCGTGTTGCTTTCTTCGGAATGGTTTCCATTTGCCTTTGGTGTATTTTCATCTGTAGAAGACTCTTCTTTCAATAGACGTATGTTGTTTCTCCTTGATCAGTTTCAACTGATTTCTAGTAGATTTTCTTCCGAAGATGATTGCTTTCTCGACGTAGTCGTGTTGTTTTCTTTGAATTTCTGACGTATTTTTTTCCGAAAAAGAGTCTCCTGAGGAAAGAAAATGGTAGCAGATAGACGGTTGTTGATATGAATTTGCTGGAGTATGTGCATGGCTTTGTAAATTGGATATTAACCTCTTCGTTGTATAGCTGCGGGTTTGTCGGTTAAAGTTTTATGGAGATTGTTTTATGTCGGTGATCTCTTTTACAAGGATAAAGTAGTTAGGGTAATGATGTACATCGAGCAATTTTGACGTGGCTGTTGGGGAGAAACTAATACCATTTGATGCGATATGGATCGTAATTATGTATGTAATGATAAGTATTTGGATGGAGTTCGTGTAATGAGACATAATTGCAAGGAAATTTGAGGTTAGTTATTATGGGATTTTCAGGCAGCATGTTTATGAAGATGTCTGTAGATTTTGGTAACATCGAGTAACGTTTCTCTCTGATTTGACGTATCTACACATACAATTAGTGACAAAAGGTAAAGAACAAGATAATTCTTTGCCTTCTAAAATATGTACATTATTATTTCAAAT